CCGCCGCCCCCGCCGCCTCCGTCCTCGAACAGCCGATGACACTGCATCTGGATGCCCGTCAGGTCCACGCCCTCGGGCCGCTTGCTACGGAAGGGCAGCTTCTTCCGACGGCGCCGGAGCACGTAGGCGAAGAGGCCGGCGGCCACGAAGACGGCGGAGAAGAAGAGGACCAGGAGGCTGAGGATGAGCACGGAGAGGGGCACGGGGCCCCCCGGGGGCGCGAACTCGTAAGGGGGGGACCCTCGGGTGGGACCCCCACCGAGCAGCGGAGGTCCCCCAGGCAGGCCTCCTCCTCCTCCCGCCCCGGGCGAGGCAGCGCCCCCGGCGGCCGGGATGGTGCGCAGCAGCTCCGGGCACAGCACGTCCAGGTCGATGGTGCGCACGTCGCGCTGGGTGAGGTTGTCCGGGGTGCGGCACAGGACGTCGCCCACCACGCTGACGGAGCTGATGGTGTCGATCCACTGCTTGAACGGGACCAGGTCGCACGTGCAGTCCCACGGGTTCTCGTTGAGGTCGATCTGCACGATGGCGTTGAGGTGCTCCAGCACGCCGGCCACCGGCAGGTGCAGGAAGTAGTTCTTGCGCAGGTTGAGGCGGGCCAGCGAGGTACCCGCGAAGGCGTCGGTGGGCAGCGTCCGCAGCAGGTTGTTGTTGAGGAAGAGCAGCTGCAGGTTGGGCATGAGGCTGAAGGCGGCCGGTTGGATCTCGCGGATCACGTTGAACTCGAAGTACAGGTAGTGCAGGCTCTGCAGGCCCCGGAACATGCCCGGCGTCAGCTTCTCCAGGTCGTTGCCGTTCAGGAAGAGGCTCCGCAGGTTGGGCAGGTTGAGGAAGGCGCCATCTTGGACGTAGGAAATCCGGTTGTTGCCCAGGTGTAAGAGATCCAGGGAGGAGAAGTTCCAGAAGTCCGAGCGGTAGATCTTCTGGATCAGGTTGCTGCTCAGGTAGAGTTTCTTGGCATTCAGGGGCCTCGGGAGGAGCTCGGAAATGTTATTGAACCCGCGTTCCTTGCAGTTGACCGTCAAGCCCAGATCGTTGATGTGCAAGTTACAGGTGCACCCGGTGGGACAGATGATCGGGATGGGCGGCCGGGTCTGGTAAGGAGCGATGGGAGGTTGGTTGGGACCGGGGTACAAGGCCTGGGACGTGGAGGGGGGCCGGGGCGTCCGAGGCTGCTTGGTGGGCTTCGGCTGCTTATTCGAAGACTTGTATTCGACGGAAGAAGCCGTGAAGTGGACTGAGGACAGCATGGAGGACGGCTTGGTGGGCCACATGTTCTCCTTGTTGGAGGACAGGTGCGGGATGCCCAGGCTGGCCTCGACCTCCGAGTCAGACAGCAAGGGGCAGAGCTCCGTCTTCCTGATCTCACGCAGGTCCTTGCCGTGGAAGTGGAAGGGGGTCTCGCAGGTGATGTCCCCCACCAGGGCCGTGTAAGGGATGCGCTCTAGCCAGCTTTTGAGCTGCACGATGTCACACGTGCAGTTCCATGGATTCTCCTCCAGCTGGAGCTCCATGAGGTTTCTGCCGATGTGATCCAGCATGCCTCGGTAGAAGAGGACCTTGAGCCGATTTCCACGCAGGTCCAAGTGGGTCAGCGAGACAGCCTTAAATAAATTGGTGGGGAGCATGGGGATGAGATTATCGTTGAGAATGAGAACCCTCAACTTACTTAGGTTCCGAAAGGCCCCGCTCTCGATGCGCTTGATGACATTGTAATCGGCCTGCAGATATTCCAAACTTTCCAAGCCCAGGAAGGTGTCATTCCTGAAAACATCTAACTTGTTCTCGTGCAGGTAGAGCCGTTTTAAGATCCTCAGGCCGTTGAACGCTCCCGTTTGGATATCCTGCAAGGCGTTGTTGCCCAGGTTAATGGACACAGCATTATTGAGATGAAGAAAACTGTTGGTGTACAGTTTCCTCATGGAGTTCCTCTGCAGGTAGAGCTTGAAAGGTCTGGACCAGAACTCGGTAATCTGACTAATATTTGTAAATCCTTTACTGTCACAATGTATATGGAAGAGGCTCTCTTTGACTTCGCAGTAGCAAGGATCGAAGCAAGGTTCGTCTATCTCCTCCGAGTCCTCTATGAGGGGGATGGGGGTAGTCCACGCTAGAGCGATTGTGCTCAGCAGAATGAGCCACAGCATCCTCCGTCCGTACAGCACCCGGGCTATGGACAGCCGCATCACTCGTGGTGGGATACCAAGCTGTGACAGAAAGAGAGAGGCGGAGTTTTAAGAGTGTAGTCAGATGTCCTCTTTGACTCCTACACGGAAGGCTTTTTTGGAGATGGGTAGATTAAAACCTGAATGGATGTTTGACCTGAGCTAACAACAGGCTTCATGGTCACGGTGGCTCCTGTATTTTAAATGGAAGGGAACCTGCAATACCGAGCCAGAAAGGGACATTTTCCAAACCCAAAGCAGTTGCCATTCTCTCTTACCAAAAGCCTCCTAGGCCTTAGGCCTACAGGGTCAGGAGTGTTGGCAACCAAGTGCCCTTAGACGTGTTTGACTGCTAACAAGCAGGTTCCCATCAAACACGAAGCTGACTGGAACTCCGACGGAAAGAAAAATTCTCCTCAAATGAGAGTTTTTTTTTCTTTTACCATTAAAAAAATATGACCCAGGCCAGAGTTATTAAAGTATGATCAAGAATTGAACCGCTTGCCTAGTACCAGATCTTGGGGATGTAAAAGATGTTTGGCAGTTTAGAGATGCTTAACATTTCTTCCAAGAAACTCTCAGAACATGCACAATAACAGGATATGGTCCAGTAATCCACTAGACTCAATTCCCTTTGCCCAAGTAAGGGTTAGCAGCATCTCTTTCGATTAAATAAAGAACTCTTGCATACAGGGTCATTTCTCTGTTGAAATCACCGGGAGATCAGGCCTGCTACACAATGTTCCTGCACAATTATCAGAAATAAATGTAGTGACAGCTAAAGATGGTTAAACTGGGAGTGTCTCATTTCAACACTTGCAGAAGCTAGTTTGTAATATCTGCCTGTACCTTACACAACAACCCAGGAAATTTAAAAGTTTGAATGGACTGTGTGTGTGTGGTGGTGGGTGGGTGGGGGGGTTAAATGGAAGGGAGGTGAGTAGATAAAGGCCCAAGAGGGTAGAAATCTCAATTCTTAACTGCTGGTCAATCAGCTATCATGTGAAATACATTTCACAAACAGATGTATTCCCCTAAGATCAGGAGAAATAAGTACAGGGCTCTATTATGAGGAGGGTGGGGAGGAGGAGGAGGAAGCTGAGGAGGAGGAGGATGAAGAAGAGGAGAAGCAGGAAGAAAAAGAAGAGGAGGAGGAGGAGGAAGAAAAAGCAGAGGAGGAGGAGGAGGAGGAGGAGGAGGGGGAAGAGGAGAACCCATCCCGAGCTCTCTTGCTCTATCATCAGCATATGAAAATATGTACATAAATAAATGATAATAATGCACTTTTATTAGATTGTTCTTCCTGAGTCACTGAGATATCAATCAAAATTGAATGGCTCATTTAATCAATAAAATTTCAGCGGGGTTCCAAATGTGTCTTTTCTCCCCACACATACATAGATACACCCACCTAGGAAAACTCCTTTTCCCTTGAAACACAACACTATAATTTACAGAGAAAGTGAAAAGAATGCTTCACATTCAACGTGTGTATAATGCCCACCGCTGTAAGGAAAACAGAAAGCAAGGAGACATTGGCTTCAGGCAAGTAATACAAAATTTTTAGAAACAATTAAACAGGAAAAGAGACTGAAGGCAGATGAGGCAGCATTGCAGTATGCTGTCTCCCTGATAAAATACCCACATCTATTTAAGTACTTTCTCCTTCCCCATTCCGTTCCTCAGTGGACCCCCCCCCCCCCTTTTTTTCTTCTTCTTACATTCCTGAGGTTTCT